TAAATTCCGAAGCTTTGATGATGAAGAAATTGAGAAGCATCTACAGAGCAAATTTCACAAAGAAGTGTTGCGATACATTGGAACAAAGTTGCCTGACAAAACTGTTGAGTTCTTGCAGGTATGTTGCTTTCAAATCTTAAGTTCCAAACAGGGTAACTGCTACTGCTCCCCTCAACCAATAATTGCCAGTTGTAGATCTTCATTGCAAGCGTGTCTAAACTGGGGGGGGGTTAGTTGTTGGTGCATCATTTGTCTAGCATACCATGATTCTGAGTAGCACTGACTGCTTAGATCTGCTTCTGCTTGTCATTTTCTTCACTGGCCATCAGGGTTTTTATTTAAAAAGTCTTACTCAGAAGTTTGAAGGAAAGATGCTGCTGCATTGGTTCTGTTCTCTGAGGGGCAACTTCATCCAGAGAGCAAGGGAATGAGAATAATTACCTTATTGTATGTAGTTGTCTCCTTGTATAAGTTACTTTTTATTAGTTTGAGGGCAGAGGCTTGTACAATTATATAGACTTTTCCTTTCCCCAATTTCCAGAAGTATATTGTGAACAGAAATAAAAAAATTGGGAAACGCCGTCAAGAGTTGACAGAGAAAGAGGGCACCAAGCCAAAACCAGACCCTTTCAAGGGTAAGTTAATACAGTTATGAGAAGAACAGTACAATTGTAAGGACAATTATACTCTTTTAAGTCCATTTGATGAAGCTGGTGAGCTGAGAAGGGTGTAACTTTGCTTAAGATGGCAACTGGAAGGCTATTAGTTCATTAACCACAGTATTCCTGAATTCTTGGTGCAGCTTGTACCATGAGAAGCAGATACTCCTAAAAAGAGTCTAGTAGGGTCTAGACTGGGACAGCATGGAGAAAGCGGGTTAAAGAAATTTTCATGTTCAGGATGGGCTGCAAGGATAACAGGCAGGAGATGGATATTAAGATTTACTTGTGAGCTATTTTATGTGTATGTCATTCTTGTATACTGCCCTTTCCTCAAGGAGTTCAGGACAGCATACATGAGAGTATCCTATTTTTATTTTCACATAAACGCGGGATAGGGGAGAGAGAGTGACTTGCCCAGTTGAGGTGCATGATTTAGTGGGGCTATGAATCCAGGTCCTTCTGGCCCAAGTCCAGTACTGTACCTGACACACTCTGAGAACAATCCTAAATAGGACTACTTAGAATCCTGCACAGCAGGTATGTTCAGTGGGGCTTTTATTCCCAGGGAAGTGTTGCGCTGATAAAGATGGATTTTTAAAGAAGCATTATCCACTTGCCATAAATTTAATCCCTGGAATTAGTAACACCATTTCACCATTAGTAACACCATTTCAAACTGACATGCAAACAATTTTAAGAGTCCACTTCAATCCAGTTTTGCATTTTGTATGACCAGAGCTGTGCAAACAGTATGTAATAGACCTTACATCTTGTTATTTGTTTAATGTCTTTATACACCACTTTTAAGCCATATTATAATTCCAACACAATTTATTATTAAAATCTATCACAATTTATAATTAAAGCGACTTAGGGAGGGGCTGTGGCTCAGTGGCAGAGCATCTGCTTGGCATGCAGAAGGTCCCAGTTTCAATCCCCAGCATCTCCAGTTAAAGGACCTGGCAGTAGGTGATGTAAAAGACCTCTGCCTGAGACCCTGGAGAGCCTCTGCCAGTCTGTGTAGACAATACCGACTTTGATGGTCCAAGGATCTGATTCAGTATAAGGCAGCTTCATGTGTTCCTATGGGGGGAAAATCAAATTCTTCTGATTGCTGTGACCATTGATAAGGGCTTGCTTCTTGGGAGTGCACCCCAACAAAAATAAAGCTAGTGACACAGATGACGTGGCTCAAGAGAGACCCACAGATGGTCTCATGGAATGCTTACAGTAGGGATGAGCACGTTCACTACTGAGAGCTACATCGGAAGTGTTAGCTGCTAGATGCAGAAAATATTCATAGTCCCATTTAGTTGAGAGAGGTTGCCTGAACCAAACGATTGCTTGAACACAGCACGTCTTCCTGTGACACGTCTTCCCTCTAATGATTGTTACTCGGTAGGAAAATGTCTCAGTTTAATCTCTTAAACATTGCATGAGATTGTAAATCATTGGAAAGACATACTGAAGGTTTACTGTGTATTGGTATTTGTGCTTCTTTCACACTCATGTACAGACATAAGGCCACACAGGTTATTTAAATGGAATAAAGGCTTTGGTTGGGGGGAAAGCCCTTAGTCCATGCACCAAGAGGAAAGTATGCTGTGGAACTGCATGTTACTGTTGTTGTGAAGGGTAGTTCTGACATTAGGACATGAGTATCAGAATATAAAAAACCAATAGAGAACTGGTCAAAAAGGCAAGTCTCTCTTGAGTTGGAATAATATGAGGTATTACTCTTGCAATCTTCCCTTGAAAAGCTCCGTGTGATCCTTTGTGACTCCTTATTAGTCTGATCTGGCAGGGCTCTTATGTAGAGACCCAGATGATGACAAAGAATGCATCAAACACAATATCCTTTTCATAAAATGTAGTTGGCTACTTGCTTCTCAGAAACCCAAAAGCAGGCCATGAAGGTGCACTTGAAAGGATGTAGTATTAGAACCAGACTACAAGAAGATTTCATAGGGGAAGATGGGCAGGAAGAAACTGCTACATCAGTTTGTTTCCTTACTGCCAAATCCAACATCCCTTTGAGGTTCTCGTATACCTCCGTCCCACTTGTCCTGTTCAGTCTTTACCAGAAATTCCATATTGTGTTAAAAAATGAAATTATACAAATAAAGCAAAATGGCATAATTCTATTTTATGATACTATGATTGGAATTTGGGATTCCTTCTTCCAGAATTTGCAGACACTCTTGATGATCAGTAAGAGCATTCATATCCTGTGACAGGTCTTTCAAAAGTGGATTTTTAAAAACTGGTGATGATGAATGACATTAGGTTTGAAACATGGGTGGATGATTTAAGTCATTAATAACAGAGAGGCAGACTTTTTCCTGTTGACCTGTTAAGACTTGTAGCTGGGAAAGAAGCGTTTAGTAAATGCAGTAAAAGCTTTGTTGGTGTGGCTTTACAGTGATGTTTAGATGAGAATTTCAGATTACAGCCACTGCTGCAATGTTAACTTTCCATGTGTCTGGGTCAAATTGCCCTAGGAATGACTGAACTAAGGTTTGTGGGATTCTTTAATGCCTTAATAATAGAGTGAATAATCATTTTGCATGGCATGACCTTAACTTTACACTTAGAATGATTCATGTAGCCTGGTTGGTGAGGAGAGATCCGATTCCTATTGGGATAGTTGTTTGTGAAATCTCATACCAGGGCAAGTTAATGACTTACTTTCAGCTGTTATGGCTAGTATCTAATTCAACAGTGTGCCATTTTAGGAATTGGCCAGGAACACTTCTTTAAGAAGATAGAAGCTGCTCACTGCATGGCTTGCGATATGCTAATCCCTGCACAACATCATCTTCTTCAAAGACACCTGAGATCTGTCGATCACAACAGGAACCGTAGGGTAAGTAGCACTTGTGCCTTGTAGGTGATTCTGATATAGCTTAGAAGATTACAACAGGTTACCTGATCGTTTTTTGACTGTATGGAGGGTCTCTATAAAGAGAATCAATTTTAGATTTTTGAAGTGTTTACAGTTGAGAGCTTTTGTTTGGAGAAATTACTAACATGCTTTCAGGTTGCTAATAACTGCCCCCATCTCTGGGACTGAATAATGATTCAGTAGGGGAGTTATTTTGTTGGACCAGAACAGCTAGTATGTATGTCCTGTTTTTGTTTGCCTTCTGAGTGAGAGATGACAGTCAGTTCAAGGAATCTTTTCAGGTTCCCCAAAGATCTATAGAAATGTTTTGTTAGCAGTCTCCTATTTCAGCATTGGTCAAAGTAGAGTCCATAAACACAAATATATTTCAGCATTGGTCAGAGTCCATAAACACAAATATATATATAATTTACAGATCCAGTGTGGGGGTTGAACAGACCCCAAAGTTAAAACCAAAACCAAAACACCCTGGGTTTATTATGCATGACACCAGCCACAATGAAAAAAATGTACACTTCATTAAACATTTCTTTTTGGTAGTACAGAAATATAAATCAGAAAATGTAACATTGTCAATTTCACCCTATATTCCCAATTCAAATTTAAAAAAAAACCCAACACCATTTGAGTGTTGAATTCCATTTACAGAAAGTTATGGGGGGGTGATGAAATGCAACAGGGCAGTTGCCCTCATGAAAGTTGGGAAATACACAGAAAATAGATTTGTAGACTGAAAATAGATTTGTAGATTGAAAACAACGTTTTATCCACTTTTTCCTACTTTGGATTAGTTTTATCTCACTTTTTGGTTTGAGGATGTTTATTCTGGCTCCAATTTGTGAAGGGGTGTCTGACAAACTGACCTCCAAAACCAGGATGCTTAGTGCATCAAAAGCAGTGAACCGGGAGATTAGAAGTTAATGCCTCACTGTAAAGCACAGTTTGATTGACAGGCTGCTGCCAGCAGGCACCCCCTTCTCTCTGATTGATCAGTGCCAGCTGAAGGAGAGCTTTAAAAAGTCTTGTCACAGGAGCCAGTCATTTGGGTGAGAAAAGTTTGGTGAAGCTCCTTAAACATATTGTAAATCATGATTTCTCTCTTTCTGAGATACCCCAAGCTAATCTGCTTGCTGGTTGCAGGCCAGGAACAATTTTTCATAAATTATAGAATGTTTTAATACCTGTGCTATGAATGTTGCATATTCCCTTACGTAATTGCTTATTTCATACTTTTAGTAAAAAATATGTACTTTTGTCCTGCCATTACAGTTGAAACATAAAGTGTTTCTATCCTGCCTGGTTCTTATTTTGCTACATTGTGTACAAAGATAATTTGTAAATGTTGTCAAAGGCTTTCATGGCCGGAGTTCATTAGTTGCTGTAGATTTTCCGGGTTGTGTGGCCATGGTCTTGGCATTGTAGAACCTGACGTTTCACCAGTAGCTGTGACTGGCATCCTTGACACAGAGAGTACTCCATCTTTCTGTGTTATACCTCTGAGGATGCCAGTCACAGTTACTGGTGAAACGTCAGGTTCTACAATGCCAAGACCATGGCCACACAACCCGGAAAATCTATAGCAACTAATAATTTGGAAACTCTGTGTTTGTATTCAAAAACAAACTATGTGAGTAGTCAGAGGACTATGAAATGTTAGATGTAAATAATACAAGAAAAGTACAGTGGAAACATTTTATGAGTTTTATGTCCTGTCCATATTTAGCTCCCTAATGAGCTAACTTTGGACAGTAGAAAAGCCATAATTATCTGTTATTTCACACATTGAAGATTCCTGGATAAACGCTTCATATAGAAGTCTACAGCAAAAGGCCTTCACTGACCACCTAAGTCTAAAAGTTTTTCTCTCTCCTTGTAGAGGCATGGGTACATACTGATAGTGGACCAATGCCCTGAAATAGGGATAGAGAGAACCAGGAATGCAGCATCCTGCACCCAGTCCATGCTTTTTTTGTACTTGATCATCATAATTACTTGTATATCTGCTCTTTCTAGATGGCAGCGGAACATTTCAAGAAAGCTAGTTTCCATGTAGCTAAGAGTGTCCTAAATAGCAAACACATTGTGAAAATGCTAGAAAAGTACCTCAAGGTAAGTAAGCAGGGCAAGGGAGCATGAGCTCCAGGTTGGCCTTGACTAAGTATTGGACTAGTATTGCTGCATGTGACTTTCACATAAAATGGAGACATGCAAAGTTACTGCTTTGTTCTTCTGTGCATTGTCTGAGCCTAGAGTAGTGTCTCTCTGTTTGGGCAATATGCCATTTTGCCCCCCACCCCCCAAAGTGCTGGATACTCATATGAGCAGGCTGTATATAACAAATCTCTGCCTGCTTTTAGCTAGAGATGAAAAGCATCCAAATTAAAATTTGACAAATTAACAAAAAAACAAAACCCAACCCTATTGTCTTCAAGACAGCCCTCTGACAAAGATAGTGTAAAACCCTGTGCTGAAGGAGCACTGCACCCAATTTAAGCACTGCTTGATGGGCTGAAATATTAGTTGGATGCATTGCATTTCTTTCTCACAATATGGGTAGATTGTCTCTTGAATTAAAAAAGTAGGCTGTGCATTGATATATCCCAGAAAGTTGGCAGTTATGACTTTAAAAAAATTAACCTCACATCTGTTGTTAGTCCCTGTGTTCTTCCTAAAGATCTCTTGTGGGAAGACCATTTCATGAGGCCTCCAAAACATTTGGATTTGGCCCTGTAGATTAAAACCAGAGTTTTAACCTGGTGAAAATTGGAAATAGAGCACAGTCTCCAAAGCAGGGGTTTGATAAGCCCCTAACAGGAGCCATGCCTGCCTGCATGGGAATTTGCAGCACATGGAGGCACTCCTGTGTGATCATCAAGGGTTTACTCGTGTTCCACACGTGGCCATGGGTAATTGGTATATTCCATATCTGAGAGAAAAGATTGCAACCATCTGACCAGGTGAAGATGAAAAGAAACTAGTTTGGCTGCTACTTTGCCCTGGGAATCCAGGAGCAACCCAAGATTCAACAAGACCCTCTTGTGGCAGCCATGACTAATGGGGAGCAGGTCTTGCATCTGCCATCTCCTCTGTATGTCTCCCCTGCCCCTGTGGTGACACTCTGGTCTTATCCAGACTGAGCTTCTGCCAGTAAACTAAGTCCTGGTCTCTGCTAGTCAGACACTAGCAAAACTGAGACTCCATTCTCTGGGTCCAGTGAAAGAGACTTTGAGCTGAAAACATCAGCCTGTTGTTGGCGCTGGTGGCCTATATACTGAGGCTGTCTTCCCCTAGCGGCGCCTCATACACGTTGAACAAGAGGGGTGACAGAATGAACCCTGCGGTAGCTCTCCCAAGAGAGCCCTTGGGGCAGATGAGCAGTTGCCCAGTGCCACCCTCTGGGATCTCTCGGAGGAAAACATTGAACCACTCAAGCGCAACTCCGTCTACCCCTGCTAGGGTCCGCAGGTGCCTCAGCAACACCTCATGATCAACGGTATCAAAGGCTGCCGACAGGTCTAACAGAATCAGCATGGACACCTGACCTTTGTCCATCAGCAGGAGGAGATCTTCGACCCACCCAGCACAGTCTCCGTACCATACCCAGGTGCAAAACCAAGCTGAAAGGGGTGAAGGAAGTCTGAGGATTCCAGGTAATGCCAGAGCTGCCCCATCAAAGGTCTTCTCAGCACCTTCCCCAAGAAAGGAAGGTTGGAGGCAGGGTGAGACTGTCATCATCAAGAGGTGATTCTTGAACATGGGCCTAATGCTTCCTCTGCTAAAGGATGCTGGCACCTTGCCGTTCCTGAGGGAGCCTATGACAGTCTTCAGAAGTTGGGGACTCTGAATTCCCCCCTCCTTTTTTCATTAGCGATAATGGACATATCCAAATCGCAGGGTACAGTTTGGAGCGCTCTGAAACTCCAGAATATCTGTTAACTGTGGCTAGTTGGCTGAAAATCAGCCAAAGAAGATATAATTTCTTATCTTTCACTTGCATGGATCTTCTTTCATGGAGGCAACTAGTATGGTCTGGATTTGATCCAGCTGGGTCATAAAACCAAAATACTTAATTCTTGGGTGCAGAAGTCCTTGGCTGTAGTATTCAGCCTAGCCCTTATGGGTGGGGTTCCAAGGGCACAGATGGAGGAGCAGGACTTCCTGTGCATTGTGAGTAGAAGACTTCAGAACCTGTCACTTGCATTTGATCAGTTTATTGCAAGATTTCTGCCACTGGCATGCTGCCTACTTTCATAAACCTGCTGCAGGTCAATTTCACATGAAAGTGATCTGTGAGGAGGGGATAAATGGGGCTTAGGTTTTGCTGGATCAAAGCAAGTGGCAAGCAAGAATGTTGAAATCCAGCAGCGTAGTCCTGATGTGTCAGTCTGCTCATTTATATAGTGTTTCTTCTAATAAAGCAAAGAAATCCCAGCCAGAGCTAAACACTACAGAGCACCATTTCCACTGTGTGCTGTAGAAAGCCCTATCCTCTGTCTTAATAAGGTTAGCATGACTTGTGTTAGAGCAGTTGTTCCCAGTACAGTCCTCTCTTAGTGTTCTTGAACACAGAGAGTTCATTACTGAATGAGATCGCCAAAGTGTGTGAGTAGCTAGGGATGCCAGCCTCCAGGTGGGACCTGGGGAACCCCTGGAATTAGAGCTCATCTCCAGACTACAGAGATCATCTCCTCTGAAGAGAATGGATGCTTTGGAGGGTGGACTCTGTGGCACTGTACCCCTCTGAGGTCCCTGTCCTCCCCCAGGCTCCACCCCCAAATCTCCAGGAGTTTCCCAACCTGGATCTGGCCACCCTATCCCCCCCCCATCCTTTGCCGGTGGCCAGGGTGAACCTGACAACCCTAGCAAATACCTCTCATTAGCTTGTAGCCTTATGCCAACACCTGGTCTTTCTAATAATCAGATATACTGAAAATTAGGGAGAAAGCTGCATACATCTCAGCTGCCAGGACAACTGGCTGTTTCCCGAAGGCTGCAGATTCTGCTACTGGGTTGAGTGCTCAAATAGTAAGTTGAGAAATTAGCAGTTTTCTGAGGCCACAGGCATTTCATTTTGTTGAGGATTTTACCCTTTTCTGATGCCCCGAGGAACACATTGCAGCAAATTGCACTCTGTCCTTATTCCTGTGAGGTAGACACTTTGCCAGCATTCAGATAGTGCCATAGGATTAGGGCCCTGGATGTCATATTTATTATTTTTATTTTATTTTGGGATTTTTATTCCATCCTACCCTGCAAGTGGAATCAGGGCAGTTTACAAGATGGCATCCGACAGAACATACATTAAATTAATTAAAACATTATTACTAGTGCTTGAAATTTTAATTACTGATGTAAAATAACCTACTGACCACTGGTTCCTTATTTCAGTGCAAGCTGGGCTTATGCCAGAGAGGGCAGTGACAAACTCAAACTAGGATAGGTCAGTCCCTCCTAGCACCCATGATGTAAATAGCACCAGGGATCACTTAAAGCAGGGGAGGCCAGTGTCCCTTGATGTCCACCACCTCAACCAAAGGCCTGGCAGAACAGCTCTGTTTTACAGACCCTGTGGAATTGCAGTAAGTCCTGCAGGGCCCTGATCTTGGTTAGGAGCATGTTCCACCAGGCTGGTGGTTGAGGCAAGGCGAAGTCTTTTGGGCCGGGGACTGTTAAACGGTGTTGGTCTGAAGAGCGCAAGGCTCTTTGGGGCACATAAGCAGATTTGCTTAAGTAGCTTTCAGGCAAAGGGGAGGGGTCGCTTTCACTCTGCACTGACTTAAAATAGAGCACCCACACTTCAATCTCGATAGCAAACTTCAATGTTTTAGGTCTGAGGCTCCTTAAAGGAGGAATTAAGACAATTTTGCAACCATGTGATAACATTGTGCTTCCTCTTTGTCAGGGTGATGACCCATTTACAGATGAAAACATTGACCAAGATGTTGATGAATCTGAAGCCTTACAGGGGCCTGAGGGTGAACGGCCTACAGAAGATGCTGCAGCAGAGAAAAAAGAACATGCTGGAGATGAGATTGAAGCAGTGGAAGACAGTGAAACTGACAAACCAGGAAGTGATGAGAGAAGCTGTTCCAATGTTGTTTTTTCTAAAGATGAATCTACAGAGGAAGAAAAGAGAACAGAGGCAGCAGAAACAACAGAAGAACCATTTTTTCCTTCTCAAGGAACTCCAGAAGAGAAACCAAAAGAAAGCCAAGGGAAGGAACATGTTGAGATGGGAGAGAACTCTATGGAAACAACAGTGGCTGAAAACAGTGATACCAAGAAGGAAACAGTTGTAGTAGCAAGTGTAGAGCCACCGCAAGAATGACCATGTGAATGTTTCTGTGAAGGAGATTTGTCCTGCTTAGCTGTATAATTTTTTTCCTGTCTTTTTATGTTAGTGCAGTACACGACTGTGAAGTGCTAAATTGCTACCAGTTTTGTTCCTGTTTTGAAGAAAGGGATTCTGTACTGTTACAGAAGCAGTCGTATGCTCTGCTATTTTGTCAAAAGTGGAAATCATCCACTGTGTTTCATTTTTAGGTTGGAAAGCTTGGGATGCTCTACGTTTCCCCAAGAAACACTTGATAGTCGTCTTGCAGTTTAGAATGAACAGCAGTATTTGAAAACAAATTTTGATCATTTAGTTCCTGTTAGATTTACAATACAGAAGTAATATAGCTTCATTTGGAAACAAAACTGGTCCTCTTGTGAATGGGGAAGTAGATTAGTAAATCAATGTGTTTATTCTTTTCTGTGAAATTGTTTGCTCATTCAAGTTCCTTGGGAGAGGACTTGCTGGCACGAAAGCTGTTAATGTCATTTATCCAGATTGCAGTATTGCATGAAAAATAGCACCGCTAACAATATAGTTTTTAAATAATAAATTTACTGTGTGTCACCCTTGGACTATCATTTATACCATGCACTATTTCAAATATTTTGGATGGCAAAATGCAGCTTGTATATTATGCTGGTAGAGGGGGGCTTAGTTTGAAGGAGAAAAGTTATGCTACAATTGAATCCCTCCCTTCCCTCTCATACTTTTCAATTAGGAATATCATTCACAGAGAAGATTGCCAAATACTGCTCTGGGAGTACTGAAGCAGTACCAAGACCAGCAAAATAGGAACTGATTTCTTTTAATTGATGCTTGTCGTATAAAGTTTTAAAGTGGAAGGGACACTCTACCTTTGTCCCCAATAAACCTGAAGTACTTTGTCAGCTTTGAAATAAACTTGTGAAAGTGAGAACTAGTATTTACTTGTAATTTAGTTGCCTTCAAACCATTCACATCTATGTAATTATATGACAACAAGGTTAAGCAAGAAGAACAGTCAGGAGTGTGGGATATATACCCTTTCCCCAACTTTCTTACCCTACAAATTCCAAAACCATGGTTTACAGAGGAAGCAGATTCTTCAGTGGGGGGAGTGAGCAAAGAGATATCTTTCCATATTACACGTGTGAATTTACAGGTGGATTTTGTTTTATTGATATCAAACTTGCTTTATCTTTCCATATTACGTGTGTGAATTTACAGGTGGATTTTGTTTTAAATTATCAAGGTATTTGGCTTCTGCTAGGACTTTTGGGAATGCTGACCACATCTTGCTAAGCTCTCACACCTGGGAAACAAACAAAAAAAAAATCCAGACAAGATGAGTTTGTGAGTGTGTAGGTCAGACTCTTCTCCCCCCCCCTTCTACTTTCCAGCCTGCAGCCAAGCACCAATAAGGCAGGTGACAGACAGGCCACAGCAGGAAAAATTAGGAGAGTAAACTAACCTGGGTGCAATGGTAGCAGCAAGAGATGGTAGACAATTAGATTTCTCCCTTCCTCCTTGCCTTTTCATACTGTCCATGGAGATATGCAGACGATACCACTCTAATGGCAAAAAGTGAAGAGGACCTCAAGAGCCTCTTGCTCAAGGTAAAAGAGGAGAGCGCAAAAGTGGGCTTGAAGCTCAACATCAAAAAAAACTAAGATCATGGCATCCGGCCCCATCACTCCTTGGCAAATAGAAGGGGAAGTCGTGGAAGTAGTGACAGACTTCACGTTCCTGGGATCCCAGATCACCGCAGACTGTGACTGCAGCCATGAAATTAAAAGACGCCTGCTCCTTGGGAGGAAAGCGATGGCGAACCTAAACAGCATGATAAAAAGTAGAGACATCACCCTGCCAACAAAAGTCCGCATGGTCAAAGCAATGGTATTCCCAGTAGTCATGTATGGCTGCGAGAGTTGGACGATAAGGAAGGCCGAGCGCCGAAGAATAGATGCTTTTGAACTATGGTGCTGGAGGAGACTCTTGAGAGTCCCTTGGACTGCAAGAAGAACAAATCAGTCAATCCTCAAAGAAATCAACCCTGACTGTTCCCTGGAAGGCCAGATAACGGACTCGACTGTGCGACTGAACAGCAACAACAACTTCCTCCTTGCATGCAGTAGGTGGCTGGGTGAATCCTGTCATTAGAACACCCCCCCCCACACCCATATTGAGGGCAGTACAGGTTTGAGCCAATCAAAGAAGCTACCACAATAAAGATACTTCATCTGCATATATGCCCCACAAGAGCTGGGTAGGCAAATTTAGAATCCCTCTCCCCATTTTGCAGGTAAGTTAAACAGCGGCCCACCTCTTGAGCCAGGAGCAAACCTGTTATGAAAGGAAAGCAACAACTGGAACAGTGGCCAGAGAGAAGGAAGCGAGGTATATAGACAGTGTACCCCTTCCTCTTCTATTAAGTGGCTAGGAAAGAGCACAAACCTGGGTTACCATGCAAAGCAATGGAGAGAATGAGGCAGAAATCTCCATGGTCTTTCCTCTCCCCTGTGTTTGTCTATTCACCACATAATGTGTCTCTTCCATCATAATTACCCAGCCAAAGCCTGCAGCCTCAGAACCTGCAGGCATGGCAGCTGAGCCAAACCCTGAATGTTCTGAGATCAGCAGTATGTACATATTGGGGAAGGTAGCAAGGGACACAAGAGTTTTAAAGAAGAAGTTCTATAGGCAGAAACCAAGGTAGCAGTGAAAAACAGTTAATGTCATGGTGGAGGAAACATACGTGAGAGTCTCCAATGGCAAAGAGCATAGCAAAGCAATTGCTGACACCATGTAGAGAAAACAATTGTTTTCCATGTCCTAAGATATAAAATTATAGACTTTGAGATGCGCAGCAGCCAGAGCAGTTTAAGACTGACCAACCTTTCCACGGGTCCTATGTACTCAAATACCTCTTGGAACACCCCATACATTATGACCTAGTTGAATGGCCCATAGATCCACCAGCAGTAATCCCCTTCTCCCCACAACCATCAGGTTTAAACTTCTCCACAGTTAAAAAAACTATTAAATAACACACCAGAAAGGCAAAGTTCAGGCACAACACAATTAAAACTTCCCAATTTCAAGATGCTCTTGAGTGACTGAGCCAAAAACTTTGCACCAGTAAAACTACTGCCTGTAGTTAAAATAGACAAGCGCACAGCCATGCCTGAATTGAAACAAATTGCTTTGCTTTGAAACACCAGCACTCATTGACGTATACATCGAAGCTAACACATGCTGAAAAGCAGCTGAGTATCTAATCGCACTGTGAGTATCTAATGCGCTGTGTTCAAACACCATCCTTCCTTTCCCAATTAAAACTTCCCAATTTCAAGATGCTCTTGAGTGACTGAGCCAAAACCTTTCCACCAGTAAAACTACTGCCTGTAGTTAAAATAGACAAGCGCACAGCCATGCCTGAACTGAAACAAATTGCTTTGCTTTGGAACACCAGCACTCATTGATGTATACATTGAAGCTAACACATGCTGAAAACCAGCTGAGTATCTAATCGCACTCACCTAGAATATCAAGCTTACTTGATACATGGCTTAAATATGTGCTGTGTTCAAACACCATCCTTCCTTTCCTGAAAATTTTTTTATTTTATTTACAATGATTTCATGCTGTCTTCCCAAGCAACTTAGGGCAACCAAGGTGGCAAACAAAAGCATTAAAACCACCTTTTTAAACATACAGGGAACACCAAACAAAGCAGAAAAGTCTTCACTTGCTAGTTTGAAAGTGGAATGGAGATAAAGGGGGGGAAATCTCAGGGCCTGCAAACAACATACAATAAAGCAGAAATACCAACTGGATGAAGCTGATGTTGGCTAGATGAATGTGATGCTCCTTTCAAATAACCCCCTCTCCTTTCAAAAAGGTATTTCCTGATTAAACCTTTATCTATTGCAGTTCCATGGGTTAACCTAATACTCTATGTCTCCAGCTTGACTATGGGGGAAAGGGACTTAAGAAACCAAGTTCTACGAAAGTTAAATTGCTTACATTGGAGATTGTTTCATTTTAGGTGTTTGCACATAATTATATAAAGCCTGAAGGAGGTTCATACGTACAAATGAATCCTGTTGTACCAACAGTATCAGCTCATCTAGTCTTCCTCTGACTTCTAACTTTGTAGTGAATTACTCTTGAGTAATTCTTCTTGCTTCTCCTATGTTCACTTTAAACTTACTAAAGAATCACTTCTCCAGTGGAGCAGGGCATCCAAACTGGTTAGGTCACGCCTCCACTCATTCCAGGCAGGGCTATGCAAATGTTTGTATGCCTAACTTGGACCCATTGAGGGCGCCCTTCCAGTTTGAATAGCCCTGCCACTCCAGGAGGAAACTAAAGCCAGGCTCTCACTTTAGGCTATTATAAAATATACATAAAAGGGGGGGAAACTCATCTGAATTCACTGTGTGAAGTCCAGGATAGAGGTCTCAGTCCACAAAAAGACCCAAGGCTCTGGGTCTGTGGGGAGAACAGACAAAAAGCATGATAAGACCCATCGGCCCAAGACAACAGTCAAAGGGGAAGGGCTACAGGCTGTTGTGATTGGCCCAGTAAACTCAGAGACAAGAAGGGGTGCGACAAAGGCTGCAGGCTTAAATTGCAGCAGCAGCGGCGGCTTCAGCAATTCCAGTAATGTCAGGAGACTGTGGGCCATCTGATCATGGTGGGACAGGAACCCACATGCGACGAGAACTCAGCCGTGGCTGAGATAACTCTATGGCAATTATACACCATCCATGCCCTGGCTGACTCCTTCAGGCTATTCCGACTGGGATCGCTATTTGACCTACTCAGCTCACAGATCAAGGTCACCCTATAAATCGAGACCTTCAGCATCGCTGTCTCGACATCCGGCTGAAGATCCTTCCCACCATCAAACGGAACCTCTGGGTCCTCCCACCCCCCAAGTCGTTCCAACAAAGGTTTTAACTAGTCAACCTGAGGTTACTCCAGTACAAATACCTGAACAGGGCTGCTCTGACTCTGGATACAATGAATCTGACTCAGAGGCTTCGGAGAGCCAAACCTCTCCTGACCACAAGTCTCCTAACCAAGCTGTCGCGGAGGACCTCCCTATATCGCCATCCAACAATCTCACTTCTTATGCAGACATTGTCAAACGAATGGCCCATTCTCTAGGCCTCTCTGTCGTACAACAACGGCCACAGGTTACTGATCCTGTTTTTGATATTGTGCAACTGGATACCTCCACTACTATTGCACTCCCCATGTCCGCAGTCCTCTTGCAACCTATCAAGGCCCCATGGGAAAAGCCGTCAGCCCCGCTGTCGATGAGATGTCTGGACCACATGTACAGAGTCCAGGAGACAGGTGCCAAATTTTTATTTTCCCATCCTCAACCAAATTCGGTAGTTGTAACATCCTCGTCCAAGTCAAAGCGAACACACTCGGCACCCTCTGACAGGGAAAGTAGGGAATTAGACGCATTCGGGAGACGCTTCTACTCCACGGGTGCGTTAGGGGTCAAAAACACTAACTACCTAGCCTGCATGAGCAGATATCAGTATATTCTATGGGAAAGGTTCTCTGACCTCCTGACCCACCTCCCTGAAGACAAGTTTCAGGCGGCCAGGATTATTCAAAAGGAAGGCGTGGTCCATGCAAAGCAGCAGATCAACACTTCCAAACATGCCTTAGATGCTTCCTCCAGAACAATGGCCTCAGCGATCGCTCTGAGGAGACACTCCTGACTCCGCAATACCAATCTTCCACAAGATACTAGGTCCTATGTCGAAGACCTTTCCTTTGATGGCCTCGGTCTCTTTAACAGCACGACCGATACCATGCTCCAGGATATAGATAAGAGCATAAAGGCCTCTCGCGCTCTAGGAGTGTCATCCTCCAT